CCACATGTCAAACTGGATTGTAGCGGGGTTCCGTGCTCCAGGGACCACTAGTCGTCACCTGTAAGTATAATTGCTGTCAACACATCAGGATATATCTCCTCCCATGATTGTTATTATTTTACTCATACTTTACTTTAAATGAATATAATGACAACTTTGATGATGATGTAACGGTTTAACTCATTGCATCCATATCAATGTTTATGATTTTGATTCTCTTTAAAAACACCCATTTATATTTTTTAATATAGCATTTTAATGTATATGATTTTTTCCTGTATATAATATATTTATATTTTACAAAAAAAATATATTTAAATTAATAAATCCCAGTACAGCTGCATAGTTTTGGACTGAATGATGGCGCTGTACAATAACAATTTCAAGTATTATTATATGTAGCAATATAATAGATTATAGTAGAAATAACATAAAATTTAAGATTTTTTTATGTTATCAATATTGTTAATTGTTTTTATCTGGTAATTTGTACTATACTCTCCTTTTTTGTAAATATCATTTATATCTGCGACTGAAGGACTGGTATCCATGATCATGAATAAATAAAAAAAAAATAGTAGAAATTACAAAGAGTAATTAAAATTTAACACGTGAATCCTTAGAATCACTCGTAAGTAGGTACATTTTTTTAATAAAATGTCCATTATAACAATTGGAAATTAAAATATTTTGTGTAATGACATGATGGTAAACAAATTTGTTCATAAATACGTATAACAGAGTATACTGGTTTTCTCCTCACTTGGCATATTTATATTCAAAATAACAGTGCATGAAATTAACAAATAAAATGTTTATATATGAAAAAAATAGCAATAGAATAATACAGAAATAAGCAATAGATATGAAATCATCGTAATATTATTTCTATCTTTTTGTCTATCAAAACAATTTTATCATAATATATACTATGAACACATACTAAGTATATCAAAGTACGAGTATAGAAACAAGATAAAACGCTAAAAAATGAAAGAAAAAATAATAACCATATGTCATGGTCATGGTACCTACTACCTTCAACAATTAATAGACTACTATAGGCTAGAACTAGAATATATAGTATAGTATATAAGCAATCATTTTGTACTTTACAGATGACGGCACTTGGCCTGATACTGAATATATTTGGGCACATCATCTTCTAGAGGCTGCTGTGCATATTAGCGAGTAATGGACGTGCCACTTACACTTATTACTTTAATGGATTTGGTAAGAATAAATATATTTAAATAATTAATTTTAAATAAATATGGAACAGCATTATTTTACAATAACTAACTTGGCGGTCGCCAACCTGCCTGCCAAGCGTGGCAACTACTAGCAAAACCCCGAATAGGTCTTCCTATATTCAACAGTAGATAATAATACGGATATCATCAATAATTTTGAGTCTATAGCTTTCCGCGATCAACTTTCGAATATGCAAAGAAATATCTATGAAAAATAAAGGCTACTTTGGTTTTAAAAACTGGTATATACATATAACACCTTGACTACCCAATACGGTATTTACTCTATTAGCTAGTCCATGTCTATATCTTCAAGCTAGTTTATTTATAAAACAACAGATTATATAGCCTAGTCAAAAGATTAAATGTATATCTACAAAAAATTATATAATATTTTAATAGAATTATGGAATGTTACAAATTTATTAAAACATAAAATTTATTTAGTCCACTTTCATAAGGACTAGCAACACGAACGTGACACCTTGGTGATTTAAACGTCCACAGATTACTGCAAATCTAGATTGTCATTAGACGGTCTTATACCAATCTGTGTTTCCATTGTAATATAAGAAGTCGACTTCTTCCGCAAATCGCCACCAGACAACCATTTCAATTTCAGTGGAAAACTCGACCGCTATGTGCACTGGAGCAATAGACCGCTAGATGGGGGAAGCAGTCAGGTCTGATGTTATACACAGACTAACGGCAGCTATGTAACCTCTGTGTGCTTCGTCGTCCCGTACCAGGTGGAGTACCGTGCAATAACGCAGTATTACTAAAGCTCACGCCAACACTGATTATTATGTTGACCGGTGTTCTTCTGCTTCAAAGACATAATAATCTATCTAATGAAAAAATAATCTGTGATTTATTTAATATATTTTTCTATGAACTACTAAATATAAGTTATATTAAACAATACTGTTTCATTATATAAAGTGTTACTTTCTTTAATCACACAGTTTGTGTTTATTATTAGTTATCCTTTATTATTAGTTATCCAAAGAGGGTTGACGTCAGGCAGGTGGCCGGTCCTAAAACTAAAACCAACTTGTAATATGGATAAAATCATATTACGCCGACCCCAAATGGTTGGGATAAGGGTAGGAAGATGATGATGAGTTATCCTTAGCTCGTATTTTTCAAGAAAATGCTTACAATGCCAAAACTGTTAGCAAAAACACCAGTTACAAGATATACTCATTAATATCTCTCACACCATCTAAAAATACACATCGCTCTTAGCAAATAAAACCAGACCGTTCTTTAATAAATACCAGCAGCTATTGTAAATAATCATGAAATTCCGATGGTATATTTTTTTTAAGATACTCAGAATGGCAAACTATTAAACGGTCCATTTGAAAAAAAAATGGGTGTGTAGGTACAGTCATATCTATGCTACGCCTCATGCGTTGCCATCCATGATGACTTTGGTATTGCTTCCATACCTTATAAAGTATAAGTCACTGCCATATCCCACTCTTGAAACCGAATTAGATACAACTAAGGAGGAAGGGATTGTTAGTAATGCGGACTACTAGTCTTATTGCTAACAATACACCTTGTCAGGTCAACCTCCACGTAGTCTCCCCCTGGAAATCATCGTACTGAATTCCTGGTGTATTCATCACGTAAGATCACATGGTAAGATTATTATTATTATTATTTACCTATATTATTTACACTTTAATAAAGCTCACGTTTCGATAAATTGAATAAAAATCATGATAATGTAAATAGTGCTTTGCTGTGTGCTCTTGCATTGGTTTACAACTAATAATCTAATATTAAACGCTAATTTGAACAAACAAATATTCTTACCAGCTTCACAATCCACATATGCAAACATTTTGTATATACGCAGTTATCTCCGTTTCTTAAAAAGAGCAATCTCAATAATCTTAACACTAGATACATATATAAACTTACTGTTCCAAAGTATCGTTTAGAAAAAGTTACAAAGTTTTTTTTTTATACAACTTAGAATGGCAAACAAGCTAACGGCCTACCTGATGGAAAGTGGTAACTGTCGCCTATAGATATGAGCAGTACCATGGACATAACAGTATACTAAGCTTTGCCTATAATACCCCTCATGCGTTACCATTCCTGAGGACTCAGGTGTTATTCCTCTGTACCCAGTAAATTCACGCCATATCCCACCCTTCAAACCGAAACACAGCCATGCAAACACAACTGCCTCACGGTAGAAACACGAATAGGACAGAGGTACCCAAGCAATCGAGTTTTATAGGTATGGGCATTTAATGTTAAAATAAGATACCAAAGGATATTTCGGATCTATCTTTTAATAGTTAAAAACTGTTATTAAAAACACTTATTGAACAAAACCTATTACACACTACACTTACTTGAATGACAAATATGCATGGTATTAGTCGATCATGCATGGGTTTTTAACGCCCATGTAATTTTAGTCGTAGTACATTTAAATAATAACACATAATGTAAACAGAGAACTCTTCCTAACAGATAACTTTCCAACCCCTATAGTAGATTTTTAAAAAAATACGATGCAAAAGTGCTAAACAAGTCTATTTGAATAAAGATAATTTGAATATATACAATAATATATAACTAATAAGAACAGCATTAACAACCTCCTTTTTCAAATCGGTTGAAAAAAGGCTGACTCAGTACATCGCTATTTTAAGTTATGTGTACTTCCGTATTTTACATAATTTTAAAATGAATTCAACTAAATTGAACGAACAAGTACCTACCTCTTTAATATAGACTTGAATCAACCAACAACAATATTAGTATGACATATATTAGTGTATAGGTATTGATAGATTAAAGAAAAATAAATATAATTTAAACCTAATTTAACGACGCCCAATAATAACAATAATATAAAATCAATAACAACACCGTTTAAATCCATTGATCCAACAGTCAGTATACACATGAAAAACGAAACGAAACGTACATTATAACGCTTGACGTGACGTGTCCTTTGCTTTGTTCCTATTACACGTTGCAAAAGATTTTGATTTATTAGTTATACATACACATTTATACAAAAACAAAAATCGTTATGCGCTAAATTCAACTAGTTATTTGTTTTTAAAGCTACTACTGCAAAATCTGTAAAATAAAAAAAAAAAAAATGTAATAGATTATTCTGTGCATGTATTATTGTTGTATTATTTTATTTAACAACAAAGGCGGTAAAATAGAATAAAAGACAGTAATGCCTGGATCATTCTTCATCAAGGAACGTTCTGAAAGATGGTAATGAATCTGGTGTGTCATTAGCCGTCACTGTCAGTGTTAAGTGCCAACATATTACCAGTCTGCTTCAAAATCACTCAAGTTTCATATGTGAATAGTAATTAGTGATTTTGGGAATTTTGGAAATAAATTTAATATATCTAATTAATTAATGTTATAAATACATAATAATCAAAATGTATTCTGTGTTAACCAGAGGAAACGCTATACTTACTTACACTCTTAGTGTACTAGCATGTCTTACTTTCTTATGTTTTCTGTCCACGTTAACAGTTGATTACAGAACCGCCGCACAAATGAATACAGTAAAAAAATGAGTTGTGTCAGTATTACTATTATATAAATATGGATAGTTAAGTAGTGTGGCTTTTATTTAAAAATAAACCTGTTTACAGCAAAAATGTGCCGGACTACGGTGCCTCTGGGAGAGTGAATGATCTTGGCTTCCCGACGTTCGACTTGGAAACAGATCTAACTGCTTTTCAATTGGAATGTAAAACAATTATTCCTATACTTAACAGCAGAATATATTACACCAAACAATGAACTGAATCAGGTTGTATTGTGGGACAAAATCATCCTAAGAGGTGAAAATGCACTCTAGACTTTAAAAATATGAACACAAAATATTACTTCTGGGATGATGGTAATGGTTTAAAGTAAGTATTAATATAAATTTTCAATTATAATTGTTCTTAGTGACTGAAGTTTTTTATACCACTAAGGTGGCAAGCAAGCATACGACCCACCTGATGGCAAGCTGTTACCGTAGCCGATGAAGTATAAATTACAGACAATAGTTTTATAAAAAATGTCAACTACTTAAACAATTATTAATTGTAACTTTGCCAACTTAATGATTATACATATACAAAATTTAGACTGATTACTACCTGAAAGTTATCTAACTTACAATATAAATCTAAAAAAAGTCATTCTTCCTCTTGGCATGTAATTACCACATCTTTATTTATTTTTATGAAATCTGGTATGACAAAAAAGCTAACAGTTCACCAGATGGGAAATGGTGACAGTTGTCTATACATAGGAATAATATGTAATATATTAAATAATATGTAATGTAATTAATTATATATATATATATATATAAACCAAAAATATTAAATTTGTAAACAAAAATATTTTTCTTTTACAGAGCACACAATAATGTCACACTGACATTGTCATGGAATATCATTCCTAATGTATATCTCCTGCCCAACATACAAGCTATTGGCCAACATTCCTTTAAATTCTTTACAGAGTACACTCAAACAAGAGTATGATCCAGGGGATATTTTTAAAAAATATATTCCTGATTCTTTTAGTATGAGGGATGAAAGTAAGGTCGCAAAGTTTCAATTATAAATCTCTATTCAAAATTGACTTTAATTTTATACCTTTAAGGTTTCTTATTAATATGTTAAGTATCTAAGATTGAAATGTAGAAAATAATGCAGTCAAAACATAAGTTTTCACAAACAAAAAAATTGGAATACATTTAATTTTATAAAAAGAAAAAAATTGTAAATGAGAAAAGTGATAATTATCATCTAAATACTTGTATGCCACAGTAGTATCAATTTGATATTCTTTATTATAAATTATGAAACAAACATGCAGGCATACAAAGTTTGTAAAAATTATTGTTTGACTTCTGTTGCTCTTAATAAGACATATAGTTACAATATTATCATTAGTAACAACTAATTTACTTTATTTCTCCCTTCGAGCCTAAACAATTGTTTTGCTTATTTTGCCATGTTTTATGCCAAAAATTGATAAAGTAATACCTATTCATAGGTAAAAGTGCTAAACCAGTACAATTTTCACAATACGCTGAGAGTTAAAGGTTTGTTAATAATAAGGATTAGTGGTCCTATTACTAGCAAAATACCTTGTCAAACACATGGTCTCCCCTAGAAAGCATTTCATCACAATGAGTAAACTGACCTGACTCTCTAAAAACTTTCGAGGGTAGCCCACCAGCATAAACTAATAGTGGTGATATTTCTGTATCCATTTAAAAACAGAAAACAACCCTGGAGGTTCTAATTTATGAATTTTTCTTTTTAATATAATGAAATAGATTTTTATTTCACAACCTGTCTTCAAACATGGCAAAGTCAGTTAAGTTAAAAACCAAACTATTAAATAAATTTTGATAAAAATTCTATAAGATCAACCAGAAAATATATCATTTCAGATAAAGAATTTTCCAAATCAGCTAATGTTGTTCGAAGGCAACAAAAATACAGTGTAATTAAAAACTTCCTTTTTTGAAGGGTTAAAAACTTAGTTTTTGCAACTAAAAAAGAATGAAACATTTAAATAATATAGGTTTTACTCATAGTTCTAGATCTATTAAGTTATAGATGATCTCAGTGGTTGTGTAAACGAGGTCCTGGGTTTAGCGTAAGGGAAGTATTTTTCTTCAGTAAATAGTACTTTTTACCTTAATACAGACCAATATATTCAATGACATTTAACAAACTTACAAATTTCAAAGGAAAAACCACAAAGGTACAATACAAAAACTCTTTGTATTAATTAAAAGTTATGTATAAATACAAATAAAAATTATGTATTATAAGAATCTTTAGTCCTACGTGAATATTTTTATGTAGACAATATAGGCGAATGAAAGGATTCCGAGAGATCATCCCACGATGCGAGAGGAGCTTTTGCTTTCAACTATGCAAAATGTTAAATAAATAGACATATACATTTCTAAAAGTTCATTAGACCTAATAAAAATTAAAAGAGATATTGATAAGGTCTAACTTTACTAATGATATACCCTATCAGGTCGACTTCCATGGTATTCCCCCTGGAAACCATCATGGTAGATTCTTGTTTAAATTGTCACAAGGGACCAACCGACCTGCTCTCATCTATCATCCCTCACTACCTTGGTTACCATTATATCTTTACTTATTAAAATGCCTCTACCCCATTAGGGTATTATTGGGAGCAAAGGGATTTTTTAGTAATGTAGACTATCAGTCCCAGTTAGCAATATACCAGGTCGACCTACACTGGGTTCCCCCTGGAAATCGTGCTGAATTTCAAGGGTAATCATCACAGTAGGCCAACTGACCTGTCGTTTCATCCTCATCTATCATGCCCCACTGCCGTTAGCGAAGGCGAAGTTATTCCATTATCATCCATTGCATAAAAGTATATAATTATTGGTATAAAAAGAACGTTAAAATCTAATTATAAAAAAAATACTACGGATATGTTATTTTATAGTGTATATTTTATCAATTACAATTAAACATACATTTACCATTTTTCCTCTACATGTGTCATTCTACAGCAGAAAAAAACTATATAGGTATTTTCTATCATTGCCTTCTTTTTATCTACTTAAAGTACATGTTTTAAAGGTTTCATTTTCTAGAAACTGGAAAAGAAAAGGAAGTAAATTACCAAGAACCAAATCTAAATATTAAGTATCATTATGTTATTCTTATCATGTAACAATAACAACTGAATAATATTATTTCATATCTATTTCTTTAAGGTTGCTATGTATCATGAACTAACTTTATGACATTACACACTCAGAGCGTTTTGTAATGTCTGATATTATAAATGCAATTATACTAAAGTAGCAATTTACTCTAATTATTTCATTAATCCAATTACTACGACTACTATGTTTAATTTTAAGGACCTCACACAAAGCATAACATATTTTATATACTTGATGTATCTTGTATACCTTACATTTGATATACTTTAATTTTGTAGCTATAAGTAGTAAAAATACAAATTATTTCGTAATAAAACTACTCGACTTACGGGCCAATATTTAAATTTTCTTAAATAAATCTAATCAAATAAAAAGGTAAGTCGGCGATATTGCAGTTCGCTTTTAACTATAGAATAAAATATAATCCACAGATATAATAAACCTTAGTTCACCATAGCTACTTTGTACTAAAAAAATAACTATATTACAACGTGAGCTATACGAATTTATCTCTCAGGATATAATTTTATTCAATGGTGAAAAGGTGGCTTCAGTCCAGAACTAAGAAATATTCAAATATATGTTAAATAGAAATGTGTACAGAACTTTATTAAAATATCGTAAAATGTATCGTATAAAAATTGTTATTTAATATATAATTACACATTTTTACGATATTTTAATAGAATTCAATAACGTTCCGATACTGATAAATAATAAAAACTCCTAAATATTGACGATAAAGGTTCTTTTTTAAAGACGAGACAATGAATTTTTTACCTAATAGTATATTTTATTAAATATGTAAGTTTTATTATTAAAACAGAATTAAATGGGATGAGATGTTCCAGAACTTATATTTTATTTCAATACAAATTACATAACTTAAAAATATTAAATTATAATTGGACAAATGGACAATTTAAACCATTAATTTGTGCAATATTCCTCACATATTGATGCTATATATTTATAAAATATGTAAATGAAAAACTCCGATTGTAGTTTTATTCTAATAAACAATCGCAAATTTTAACACAACCTAATTTAAATACAAATTACAATTCATAAAAATAATGTAAATATATCCCTACGTGGAAATTAATTTGTCTTTAGAAGTATTTGTCAATACGTATAATTACTAAAGACTGAACAATTAACAACAGTATTACTACCAGAATATTTAACAAGAAGATTTCTATGTCAATGCGGATTATATATTTTTATATTTATCTCTGTTTAGGTAACAATTGCAAGTTATATTTATAGACTGTATAATTTTTTATCTGAAACATAATATCTGCAATTAATTACCTCTAAATTATTCTAACCAACTGCTATTAACACCTGAACTGCTGTTGCACATATTACGCTTCATTCGCATCTAATCAAGCAAAACATTATTAAGAGATTGCTAGATTATGACGAGGACGGCTTTACAGATTTTAATAGTGTCGATTATGATGCGCCATCAAACTAAATTGGTTTACATTACGCTAAAAATCGGCCATTAATTTCTGAAGTGAAATTAATAAAAGAAACAAAGATGCACTACCAAAGACTAAAAAGCGACTCTGTAAATCGTATTGACCACAAATTATGCACTAATTCCTAACCAGCTAGTGGTTTGTAATCAAACAAAGCGAAATGTTCTTACAACTTTTGTAAACATATAAGTTACAAATAACCTTTCATATTTAAATAGGTAAATATTCGACTGCGTCCATGCCATGTCTTACGTTAACTATTTATTCTTTAAAATTCGAGATAGATTTAAATGTATTTTTATATACGAATGTGGATCTTGGATTTTCTATATGAATAATGTGACGTAAAATAAATTTACTTCAATTTAATTTAATGGTACATAAAATCAGTACCAGAAATGTCACAAATTTATTATATTATCCAAATTTTAACAAATTTACTTATTCATTAACAGTACATATTGCTTACATGCCTTTGGCATGTGTTTAGTATTCACGAAGTTCACTATCAAGAATCACTACAATTCGTTCTAACATTCAAAGCTGATCCCACTAAATTGCATGGAAAAATATTTCATATTTGAATAAATACAAACTTCTCATGTACTCATTAGCTCTAGCGCATTATTAGTGACATCCGCATTGGTAATCACCAAATTGTATGTATATAATGTATGTATAGCGAATTTTCTATACTACTATTCAACATGAGATAAATTATTCTAATGCAATAAGTAAATACAGTACAGAACATGACCTGTTATGTGAATTGACTAGCATTTGGTATGATGTATAGCGCATGATTTTATTTAAACAGATTTATTTCACATATACTATGACAAGATAATGGGTCCCAGAGTACTGCCCTTACAAAATAACAAGTGTTATATGTCTAAGGAGGATACAAGTAATCTAAAAAAGTATATTTTCTAGTTTATTATTTTAATTATTGTGAGTATTATAATTAACAAGACCATTTTATTCTTATAAGAAATGTTAAAGTGAAAATATAAATTTAAATGCCTAATAAAATTAAAGTAAGATAAAAATACACAAAATTTTTAAATTCAAATAAAATAATACATTCCAATACACATTTAAACAGTAACTTGTTCTTTCATTAATTTTGCTCTTATACCATTGGTTTATCACGGATATTGAAAAACGCGCGTTTTAAATCGATTGTTATAACTTAACAGCAATACTTAAGATCACAGTTTCTGCCATACTAAGTGATTTGACTTTACATGGCATTATTAACTAAAAATGACCATTGAAATTAATACAGTCCATCATCACACACGCATAACATGAGCTAGAACTTAAAAAGCGGCAATAAATATTAAGTAATTAAAATTTCAACATTAAATACAGTCAATGAAGAAACAAAACATTATTATTTTATAGCTTATATGGTATTCGCTGTATTTATGTCACAATTAAATTATGTAGCAAAATGTGAATCATGAAAGATACTGTCAAAAGACCTAACATCCAAAATTTGTAAGTAACCGTAAAATATCAGTTGTATACTGGAA